TTATAATACTATTTATTATGACATTAATTTTAAAATATATAAAATATATAAATCTCGCGAAGTACGGAACGAATGATTAACTCGCGATTCTCGATCTATCAACGATTGATGGGTGAAAATGTCGAACATGTCGAACATGTCAGGAAGCAAGACACCGTCCACGTGGCGACTGGTCGTTCAATGTATTCGTGGATCGGAAACTTCGTATTTGCCTGCGGACTCTGAAGCTGGTGATTTCCTCATTTCAGATCAAGAAGCCCATGTCTTAAGCATTCATTTCGTTAACAATTATAATAAAACACAATTTTCATAGATTCTGTTACACTTTTAGCTTTTCTACTTCTTTTAAACTTTTTTTTTTTTTTGCAAACGTGAAGTTATATCAGAGCAATTTTCAATTATATATTTACATATTAAAATTATTCTTATTGTCACATACATATATACACACATACACACACCGGTACCACCATTATTATCACACATACAAACTTATACATACATATATTTTTACTTTTGTATATGTTAATATACAAAAAATAATAGAAATTATTTACTTTAAATTAATTTTTAATAATTTAAATTTTTTACAATTATTCTAAAAACAAATTATCTAAGTTTACTAAATAAAACGACGAAAGTGCTTCATATTTATCAAAACAAAAAAATATCTCGAAATTTGTTAGAAAATATATATTTTTATAAAAAAATTTTAATAATTATAATTTTGTTGTCAATCTTTTTTTTTTTTATTACATCATGCATCATGCACTTTTCTGTATATTCATGAATGAGTTATTTGAGTAATTATTTTATCTATGAATTAGCAATCTATGATATATTTTTTATGTACGTATTATTAAAATAACTTAATATATGTTTGATGCGTCCATTTTTAACGATAAGCAAAAAATGTGACCAAGGATGTGACGCAGTCAAGAAATAGAGACGCATTTAAAAACTAAGAATACAAATCATCGACCCTCGTAAAATGGCAAAGGTATACGTTGTGCGCGAAGTTATTTCCAGAAAGAAGTTTACATTGTGCAACGCACCGGTATAGAGAAACTGCGAGATCGCGATAATTTATACTATTTGTTTATTTATCAAGGTCATCTTCTTTGTGAGCGCATTCTGACAATCGTCGATAGAAAACGCTCAATATGCGATTGTACATACATACATTCACTCGATATGCTTTATATAAACACATCTTCGTGTTTGTTTCTTCTTGATCGTTCGGGCAGGATATCCATCCAAAAGTTAATCAGTTTGCTTGGATATTGAAAAATGGGGATTAAAAATCATCGAAATTAAAATCGCGTAAATTACAAAATATTATAATCATGTTTTGGCGCCTTTTTCCGATAAATATATGAACATTACACGATGATTTATTCCGTGAGTCGCGTAGTTCGAAAGTGGTAGTAGTAGCAAAAACAAATCAAGGATTAAGCTATTTCTGGTCACCGTATGTAGGCCCATGTTCGAGAACTACACATGAAAATAGCAGCGATGACTGTAAGAACCGAGATATTGTAATTTATGTAACAGTTTTCGGAATTGCAATTTTTAATACGACGCCCACATTCTTTTATATTTCTACGAAATGTAGTATAACGTCGACTCTGTTAGAGAAAATCATTAAAATAATTAATAACGAGATTTATATGAAAATTAATTTTTATAATACACATATGTAATATTGTTGTGTGTGTGTATATATGTATTACTGATATTAATATATATATAC